TTGCCTAGCTTGCCAAGGCTGTAGTGCTATGGGCCTGATTCCAATTGGCCAACGATAAGATTGCCGATCTCATTACCGATTATCGATTAACGTAGCAATCGGTCTATCTTTATGGCTCGCCTTGGGTCTGGTGACTCAGCTGATTACGATTAACGGTATTTTTATAGCTATTTCGCTCTTTCTGGCATGCGTCATAAGTCTATCGGGTATTCCACTTTGACACTTGAACACGCCGGCAAAATATCTCTCAGCGGCTGCGTTGCATGTGCTCGACGAGATTTCACGCTCAATTAAGTTTTCTGAACGAGCGATTATGCCAGATAAGGCACATCGCTAAATAACAATAGCTCGCATAACCTAGTAGATAGATAGATATATTTATATATGTGTGTATGCTTGCATGCATATAGAACACGCCCACTTCACTAGCTAATGCAACGCCCTGCGCGATTTGATCAACAAACTTGAAACTATTTGTGTTTCGCGTTTTAAGCGCTAAGTTAATGTTTATATTAACATACCCTGTACAATTTTAAAATGTGTGCCGAGGGTATGTGGCTTGTGTCGTACAGTTAAAATATAGATCGATATATATATATATATATATAAATTATTGATTGAGTAACAGAGCTTATAATGTGTGTGCAGAGGAATTGGAGTCAGTTTTATGTCTGAGTTTAACTCTGGTTTTAAGGCTTCCATATAGCATAGAAGAGCTCATTATGTAGCTCTTTTTAGAAGTTCAAGCTGATTTTAATATCTTATTCAAGCTATAAACATCAGTCGTAAGTCAAATTATTTCAAATGCAAATGAATGAATAATTTGAGTATGCAAATTTGACTATAAATTGCCAATTCCCAATTCTTTACTCAATGTAAAGTTTTTATTGCTTACAGAATAGCTAGATTAGGAAAATAGATAAACTGTCGGGAATTTCGAAGCTTAAGCAGGATATATGCTAGTCTGATATACTCGTTTCGCTAGCTTCCACTTGTTATTTTCGCGCTCTAATTAATATGGGAAATATAACAACACAACAGCAACAGCAACAGCAACAACAACAGCAACAGCAATGACATCCATAAACACAACAACAATATGTGTGTTGCATGTTAACATTTGCGTGCTGCCCCACATCCTATTGCAACACCCAGTTCTCTTTGACTAAATTGCCCAGCAGCGAAGCCTGATGATGCACACAGCCGGAAGCAACAGGCGTCTGCCGTGTGTGGGGCATGCGTCGTGCAGCACTGGCAGTTGACCAAAGCGGGTGGGCGAGGGGGTAGCTCTCTTTATGGCTGTGTTTGCCAGTTGCATGGCTCATTGATTGTTTGCTTGGGCGCCGACAATGACGATGACGTCGTTCGCGGTGACACAGCAAATGTGCAAAAGCAAAAAAAAATAAAAACAAATAACAGAGAAAAAAACAGCTAAAGGAAAAATAAAAGAAAAAATTAACAAACAGGAAAGAACAGTTATCAGCCAAGTGTCGAAGATAAAATACACTTGCAAATTCGAAATAAATAAATACTGATTAGTCATACTTATTTTTTCATATGATAAAAAAGAGTTTTATTTTAATGGACTTCAACTGCTTATTGGGCTTTTTTCGCCTTAAATCATATAAATAAATTGCAAAATGTAATTGGAACGCGCAGCGAAATAGTTTTGATAAGGTTATAATTGAAAAGCAAAGGGGAAAAAATGAAAATGATAATCGCGTACAGTAGAGCTTCGGAAGTGTGCGCTGCACGTCGCACATATAGACTTTAAGAATTCTCTAGTTTAATATTGTTTATCAAAAAATGTTGTTGTTAAACATTTAGTGCTCAGTCACACTACTATTTTTATGAACACTACTATTCTTGTGAACACTACTATTCTTATGAACACTACTATTATTATGAACACTACTATTTTTATGCACATTGCTGTATTTTCTAGGTATTTTTCTTAGTATTCAGTATTTATTCAAGTTATGGTATGCAGCTGCTGCTGATAAAACACATATATAATCTGTAGATGAGTTTTTAGAGTGAACGACAAAGTGGGGTCGACCCTATCGGTGTAGTGTATGTTAAAATAACATTGTCGCCCGCCACTCGCCGTCGCTTTCGCATGCTCCACGCCCCAGCGTTCGGTGCCGCCCGTTTGTTTGCCAATTTTTATTTGCTCCACTTTGAGTTGTAATTCTTCTTGGCTTATTATGTAAGTCAAGATGAGCAGTTGTTGTTGTACATGTGTTACCTACTGCGATTTACGATGCCACAGCCCATAAATGTTTACCTTGACAATTTGAACTGTCAACTGGGTGCGAGGCAAAACGAACTGTGACGAATCTACAGTCAGTCAGTCAGTCAATCTCTACATCAGTGAGCCAGTCAACCAACTGTGGTGCTGGCCGTGCCCATCAATTGCGCCTCTCTTGTCAATATTTCATAATTCGCAGCAACAAATTTATTGAGCTGCTCATTTTGGAGGCTGTTGCACGCACGCCTTAAAACTTGCCACTGACCCACACAACAGACAACAAAAGCAACAATAAATTGCGACAACTGTTGAGACTGCGTTTGAAGACTGTGGCAAGGGTGATCATAAAAAAGAGAGAAAAAAACGGCTACAGCCCACTGACTAGCGGCAAATTTTTCTTTTTTTTTTTTTTGTCAACGATTGAGCCGATTGAGCAAGCGGCGCTTACGTCGACATCTGCTCCGCCATCTCCAACGGCAGCAACAGTGCCCATTGCCAGTCATTGCTCATGACATTCAAAACAAACTTCGAGTGGCCACGGCTCACGAGTACATTGCCTTTGAATTGGCATTAGACAACGGCGCCGACGACGACATCGGCCACGGTCATGGGGCTCTGTGGGGCAGCTGATGTGGAAGGCCGTTGGAGCATGTGCAAAAAAAAGTTGTCCGGTTTAGAAGTCAATGAATTCTTTTAAATTCAAGTCAATTGCTGAGAATTGTTTTGGCACTAAAGCGAGTCAGGCATGTGCGAACTGGGGTATGCTAGACTTGCGGATGCTTGGGAGCTTTTGTTAAAATAACGTTTGATTTGTTGTTTTGTTTAAGATCTCTTATGTATGCGATACGCATAATACATGCATAAATCTGTCATATTATTTTCAAAATGATTTTTATCTAACTTTTATAGACACAATTACTAAAGCTTATTTATATAGTACATTTATAGAACATCTGTATACACAACTGCTCATATTTGAATTATAATTTTCGTTATCTTTTCATATTAATTCAAATCGGACTTTAATCGAGCTAAAACCAAACCATTAAATGGCTAAATCTACGTTTATACAAACCATTAGCGCAGTCGACTGTAAAAAACGATATTGTTTAAATTCAACAATAAATTGACATATTGAAAGTGAGATAAATTGATATGAATCGATGTATAATTGTTACTTCAGTGGAGCATTTGGTTTGGCTCCAAATTCAATGTTGAATTTTCACAAAATTTATTTGAATTTATAAAATTCAAATGTTTTTCACAAATAAATAATTTAATATTAATATAATTCATAAATATAGTATAATTTAACATGACAATGGCTTCAATATATTTTCTGTTCATAGATTAAATAAAGCTCAATTCGATTGCATTCTTAACCCACAGACAAGCAACAGCTCACATCAAGTTCACAGATTACATTGACTTCTTTGTTTCAAGACCTCCAAATTGACCTATATATATACATATATATCGTTCGCATACCGTATTCACATTCATTACAAATCTGGGCAGTCAAAGTGAGCTTGAAGCAAGGGCGATTAATGAACGCAATTCCAAATGCCACCCACAAATTGGCTGAGGTCGCAGCTTCCGCTGCGGCGCTCACAACGTGCAGTCTTTGTCTATTCATTGGCATTTTAATGGCAGGCAAATTATACAAATTATAGATAATGTTAAATTATGCAATTCCTTCATGTAAATTCCGCATCGATCGATTCGTACTTTGAGCCCACAACAGCAAAGCAGGCAGCAACTTGGTCCACGTTCACCTTTCACACCTTTCAGTGTTGATCGCTCAATTGAATAAATTAACGTTAGTTAATTTTTGTTCCTTGTTGCAATTAACATGGGGATTTACATAGACACAGACATAGCAACAACAACAAAATTTATTGTGATTTGTCATGGCAATTTGACTTCCTTAAACATTTCATGCCATTTATTAATTGTCTCCGTCTTTTTTTACCAACTTAATTCGTTTATTTATGGCGTTGTAAATTTTCCGGTTTTTTTTATGTTTTCGAAAACTTTTGGCAATAGAATTTTTAGAATATCTGTATATGGAAGAAGTTAAGATTGTGAAATTGGAATTCGAAACCAAATATTTTAAATTGGGAATACCGGATATAATGTAAAAGTGGGCAGAGGGACGCTTGGAGGCTATGGAGTAGTTATCTATGTCTTTCTGTCCAGCTACAAAGCTAGAGAATTGAAATTCCTTCTATATTCATGTTTACCATATGCAGCATGTTGTATTTTCAATATTTTATCTCATAGCCTTATTATCGATATTTGCCTAAGCAAGTTTATCTAGAACAGAACTTGTTCAATATTTAATTAACTATATTTAAGCCCATGCAGACCAAACTCATTAGCTGCGTAGGCATGTTTGTGTGTGTTTGTGTATGTATGTATCTATCTATATAATATAATAACAGCTCTGGCCAAGATTCAGGGTATTTCCTAGTCGGGCACTCCCGACAATAGCACGCACTTTCACTTGTTTGCTTTTTGAGCTGGACTCAGTCTCAGGCAATGAAGTGAATATGTGTTTGTTGCTGAATGGAAAATGAATTTAGTAAGCTTAGAATTAGTATTAGGCTTAGCTACATGAAGCTTTATATTACATCTAAATGAAAATGAAAATTAATGAAAATATGACTTGAATATATTAATTTAAATGTATACATCTATAACTACATACAGCTTATCATTTTATTAATATACTTATGCCCACCCACAGATACTTCATCAACACCTGCAATAACAGCCACAACATGGAAGTACTCATGCATGACGCGCTACATTGGTATAGAGACCTAATGGACAATAAAAGTGGTTCGTACTTAGAATAGACCTTGTACTGTGGCCGTTTATTGATTTTGTTTTTCATCCCGCCCATGCAGATCCGCGCGTCAGTAACTTCTTTCTGCTCTCCTCGCCTCTGCCCACGCTTGGTCTGTGCCTATTCTATGCATATTTTAGTAAATCGCTGGGGCCACGGCTAATGGCAAACCGTAAGCCCATGGATCTGCGCAAGGTGCTCGTCTACTACAATGCGGTGCAAACCATATTCAGTGCGTGGATATTTTACGAGGTAGAGCGCAGCAGCAATTGCTTGAATAACAAAACTGACAGTGATTTGATATGGATTTATATTTTATTTGTCATAGTACTTAATGAGCGGCTGGTGGGGTCACTACAGCTTCAAATGTCAGCCCGTTGACTACAGCAACAGTCCCATGGCCATGCGGGTAGGTTGCGATCAGTGTTCTATGAAAATCAATTGCTATATTCCAACTTTCTCTTGCCCCTTCTCTAGATGGTCAATATCTGCTGGTGGTATTACATATCAAAGTTCACAGAATTCTTTGACACGCTCTTCTTTATACTGCGCAAGAAGAATGAGCACGTTTCAACGCTGCATGTCATACACCATGGCTGCATGCCGTTCTCGGTGTGGATGGGCCTTAAATTTGCACCGGGTACACATGAAAATTCCCTCAGATATTTGACATTATCAATCAATTGTTCTGCATTTGCTATTTACAGGTGGTCACAGTACTTTCTTTGCCCTGCTCAACTCGTTTGTACATATTGTTATGTATTTCTATTATATGATTGCTGCCATGGGTCCAAAGTACCAGAAGTTTATCTGGTGGAAGAAATATCTAACCACGTTCCAAATGGTATATTAGCTCAGCTCCGTTTGCCCAAGCTCTGTTCCACATCTTAACTGACTGTCGACACCTTCCTCTGGTTACAGGTACAATTTGTGGCCATATTTACGCATCAGTTCCAGCTTTTGTTCCGCGACTGTGATTATCCCAAGGGCTTCATGGTCTGGATTGGATTGCACGGCGTGATGTTCCTATTTCTATTCTCTGACTTCTACAAGGCTAAATACCTAAATGCGCAGCGTCGCCGCCGCGAGGCAGTCAAGGCCAACGGGCACACCAATGGCGTTTACACGAATGGCAAAGTCAAGCATTTAGGCAACGGAGATGCCCCGCTACCTGCCAATGGCACCAACAAGGGTGCCTGTATGGTAAGTTTAGCTGATATCAATTTTTGCAGTTGCAAAATAAAGAAAACAAATAACAGACAGACAAAAATGACAGATACAAAAACAAAAATACATAAATAAACGTGTGGCGTAGGTAAGCAATATTAAATCAAGTAGCCCTTGAAAGTTATTAGCCGTGGCTAAACACACAAATCGACGCCCGTTTTCAAGTGCTGGCACCCCCAGGTGTGGCGGGTGAGATGTCCAGTCAGTGTCAGTGTGTGCACACTAGAGTTGCGTGTGTATCGTGCTTACGTGCGTGACACGACACGTTCGTAGGCAAGTTTTAAAAGTTTGTTCATCAATAGGGAATTTGAGAATTTGACTAATGTCATGATTTGAAGCTATACTAAAATGTGCAAATAATAGTGGAATAAAAAAAACATTCAAATTATTTTTAAACAAAATTTAATTAACAAATTTGAAAGGAAAAAAATGTAAAAAACTTTTTGTAAATTTTGCTTAATATTTTTCGAGTTTCTCGTGTGGAACGCAGCGCATCTCTAGCATATACGTTCAAGTGCGTAGTTGTATTATCAACTTAAAATTCTAACTAGCTTAGTTAAACAAACAACACACACACACACACACACATTGAGACAGGCACTCATACACGCGCGCACAGCACTTGCAAACTCTCAACACTACGCGGGGGACGTTTCAATTAGCGCGAACATGCGAAGCCGGATGCGAAGGCCCAATCATATTGGCTGCTGGCCATTAGGAAGGCACACAGCGCTTTGAACTCTGGCTGGAGACTTTGGAGCAGGGTTGAAGGGGCCTCACGCACGTGCTCGGCCACAAAAAAAGTTAAAAAATAACAACGAGGTGTAGACTAAAATTAATCGCATCTATTTACAATTGCTCAATTGCAGCCCGTTTTGGATGACGAATATGTGAATAGCAACGGGCATGCGAATGCCTTTAAGGATGGTTATTTCAAGGAGGGCGTACTGTCTACTAATGATGCCATCTTGAATCCGGACAGCAGTAGCTCTAGTCTGCACCAGCGCAAAGTCAAATAACTACTACTAAGATCTACTACGATGATATTCATTATGTTTAGTTTAAGTGTTTAGCGTGTAACCGAACCGGATCAGATCGCAGCAGAGCAGATCGTAACAGGCTAAGGGCAGTCTAGAAATGCATCCATGCAATTGTGACCATTGGCAACACAAAATAAATAAAACATTATCTGATTTTAATAATTTATAATATAAATATATTTATGTAAAGGCAAGCCAGAAGTTAGTGTATAATGAGAAGTCACATATATTATTATATATACATACACATACATATGCATATATACATATATAAGTAGGCAGACCAAGAACCAGAACCAGAACCGGAACCAGGGAACCATCTATTCCCTCCACCAACAAGACCATCAGCACCCACTGTAGCCGAAGCCGTCAAATAGATTAAGAAGATGTAAACTGCTTAGGTAACTGAATAACAAAAACAATATAAACTGTTTAGATATCAAACGTATTTTCGATGGTATTATTCCCACTATCATTGTACTATCACCCACCACATAAATGAACACATATTTTTTATAAAAATATTTTTGTAAACTCAATTTGTATTTCCCCATTTGTGGCGTATGTTCAACTGGCAACATATATCATCTCTACCACCAACCCTATATAAATATATTTACTTACACACACTCACACACACTTATGTATACACATGCTAGGCATTAACTTTTATATGACAATTTTGGATAACCTAATGAGACGTCAACCTAACGATAAAAGATACAAGAAAATACGCTCTTAAGCCTGCTTTAAACTTAAACGTTAAACTATTTGTAGCTTGTTTTTGTATATTGAATGCGAAAGGATAGAGAAAATATTTGTTGCAATATTTTGTAAATGGTCTAATGATAAAAACCTATATATAGTGCGATGTTGTAGTTAGCTAGCCAATTGCATACAAAAAAAACATGAAGAAAAGAAAAACCAAACAAGAAACATTTAATAAGCGTAGCACAAAATGCAAATGCTGCGAAAAACAACAAACCATTATGGAAGAATAGCTTTAGACTTTAAGTGCAAAACAGCTAAAGAAAGGAGCAGACAATCGGTTCGGCGTTGAACCCCATTTAAAAATGAGTCAAGCAAACAAAATTGAATTCTAACTCTTAACAACAACAACAGCGACAGCAAACTGATTGACACATTATTGTTTAAGTTCATGGTTCGCATATTTTGTTTTTAAAAAATATTTCAATTATCGGTGTGGCTTATGTGCGTATATATTAATTTTTATGTATATTTGTTACTCTATGTATTTTGGTTTTGTAAATGTTAAAAAGATTTAAGAGTTATTTGTACTACAGTCTGTTAATCTGTGCGTTGGTTTCTTTGTTAAGTTGTGGTTTAAGCTGAAAAGTTCAAAAACTATGGAAAACATGAGTAAAAGCTTATTAATTTATATTAAAGAAATATGAACAGAAAAATGTGTTTTTATTCTGACTGGGAAAAATGTTAAAGAAAATGTGGAAATTCTTATACAATGATCTTTTAAGAATTTAGTTAGCTAAAATATTTTCCAAATTTCTGGAAATTTACTTAAGCTTTTTAGCTTGATTTCGTTTGTTAAAACTGTGCATGCAAATTGAAACGTTTTTTTCATATTCTATTTAGACAACCTTTGTGCTCTTTTGATATAGAATATATATGCCCTATAGTCTATGAAATTAATATATATTTTTGAAAATATATATACAACAATTTTTAAAGCAAAATATGCAGATTATTTCAGTGCATATTTTTAGGCGTTAAATATAATTACATAAAATCGAAAAGAAAAATAAAATTAATCGAATTTTTCATTTAGTTTGGGTATTTCGTGAGCAGAGCATACCCTAGCTACCTTTTAAATTTACTATCATTAAACAATTAGCATTATAAAAGTGATTTTCACACTGCGTTCTAGCTGAACCCGAATGACAAGCTATGAAAGTGCCAAGCTTGAAGTACAATTGTCCAAGTTTGAATAAGATTTGATCGCCTGCAACCAGACAATGCTAAGTGGGTGATATCAAGTGCACATTTGTATAACCTGTGGGGGCTGGCGACTTGCTGACTTGTTGTAAATAAACAAAAACAAACAAGTCGATTAACACGCCAATACCAAGTCAATAAAAAACGGAAATGGGCATATCTTGTTGAATTTTCACGATGCTGCCGTTTTCACAGCTCGTGTCGTACACGGAGATGGAGAGGGCGCTGCACGGGGAATTCCCCCTTCAACCATACATTGTGCGCTGCACCAAAGTGCAATCGGGATGAGCAGCTAACTAGGTAGACAGCGAAGGTTATTTAACGCGCTTGACTGGCCAAAAGTAAAGTAGCTGAAGTTAAGTAAAAGTTGACAAAAAATAAAAACTAATTTGTTGGCTTGGCATAAAATTAATGATTATTTCATATACTAATTATTGGCAAACACAAGTGTAATTGTTGGCGGCAGCTGGCAAATATTGAACTCCTCATTTGACCTTGACGAGGCACGAGTGTAAGTTGTCAGCCGTCGGCCGCAGTTTGCCCGGTCAACATTTGTGGCATGAGAGCGGCTGCTACTAATGCTAATGCTTATGCAGCATTATAATGCATCATACTCCAGTCAATTAGATAATCGCTAGCTGACCTGCTGGTTAAGTTCGCTGCAAGTTGCTTGGGCTGATTAAACACTTGACAAACGTTACGTCGTGCGCCACCTGTTGTTGTTTACTTGAACTTTAGTTCGGCCGAGAACAGGAGCGCACCCTGGGCCAAAGCAATTAGTGTGTATTTACACTGTACGAGCACTCAAGCGGGGCGCCCGGCCTGGGGGCGGGACAACTAACTTAACTGGTAGTTGCACGACGGAAAGTTTTCAGTGTTTTTGCGCTGTGCATTTTTGCATTTTGTTGTTGTTGCGTCGTACGTTTCCACATCCAGAAGCTTTTCAAAAGTTTTCGGCTTAAGTTCTGCGCCTGCTCGCCAGCTGCTCGGCTGCTGCTATGCAGCTTTGGCAGCGCTGCCAACGTTACAAATCGCAAGTTGAAACGTCGGCGTCGCAGTTGCTGCGCAGTCGTGTCGTCGCATTGCGCGTTTAACAGCCGAACCGCTCAATTTTTGCTCAGTTTCATTCAGAAGTTAAACTTAAGCACGTCTCGGACGCTCGGTCAACAGTCCCGCTTAGCAGCTCATTAGCCAATTGCGAAAGAATTTGCGATTTTTACAAAGTTCTTGTGAAATATTTACGTATGTTTGCACATTTAGCCATACATATGAGCATATAGTTATTTCTGCCTAGTCCGTGCGTTATTTGTGTTGTGGTTTTTGCGGTTTTTCAGTTCCAGTTTCAATTGATTGCAAGCAGGAGCAGCGGCCCCAAGCAGCAGCGCCCCAACACAGCGAGCGCCAGTAGCGGCAATAGCGAACACTGAAATTGTTGGTAAGTTTCCTCACATACGTTTTGTGCTATTACTTCTTTTGCAACTGTTATTGTTGATTTGTTGAACAGGCTGGCAACACTGTGCCGAATAACGCATTGCCAAATATTATAAAGCAATCGCAAATCAAATACTAATACAGGCAAAATAAGAAAAACAAAAATGATAAAGTATAAAGTGACTACATAGATTGCGTACAGTATATTATAACTACGTATATTATATTCAGGTTTTCAGTAGTTCGGAAATTCTAATTAACTGATACCTGTTTTCATTTGCCAATATTAAACTTGCAAGTTAACCCATATACAGTTAGTTATGAGTTATGTTAAAAGAATGCACCACTCAACATATTTGCAGCACAGTTTGCAGTTTTGCTTTTTCTTTTATGTTATATTTGCATTGCATTTCTCTTATGTGCCGCTAAACAGCTGACTTTTGTTTACATTGATCGAACTAATCAGGGCTGCACTGCATTTTTGGTCTTTTTTTTGCATGTCTGTGAATGTTAAGGCTCAAAATTATGTTATGTTAACCCTTACATGCAGTTTTATTTAATTAGCATGCATTGCGATGAAAATGTCTGTGTTAAACTGCAATTTATTGCAATATAAATGCAAATGTTTTGTTGTTAAATTTAGGATAATAAAGATGATTTTCGAAATCTTGATAGAGCCATTTCAAAACAGAATAACAACAACGAAGTTCAATTAAAAATCGAGATTGCATGTTGAAATTAACGCGATCATTATATTTCAAGCGATAACATCATTCACGTATAAAAAATTCAGTGAACAATTATTTATGCAGCTTGACGGCATTCTAGGGTTAAGAGATACGAGGAGCTCTTGTAATTATTAACAGGCCAACGTTAACAGATTGCTTACATTATGAACTGCAAAAACAATAAAGCAGCGGCAACAAAGCAGAAGAGAAAAAAGCCCGCAACAAATTAACCTGGGCTCCATGCACAACCTTGGACTTGACTTTTGCCACTGATGGGCAACTGATTACCTGGTGGCTTTACCTGCCTGCCAGCCTGATGTCACATTATGTCTTTTGTTGTTGTGCGGCCAGTTGCTGTTGTTATAGTTGTTATTGTTATTGCCGTGTTTTAAACAACTTTTGGAACAACTTTCAAGCATTTATTATGATGGAACTGGGAGGATCGTAGAATATTTTATGGCTGGAGCAGCCCTTTTGCCGTTCTGTCAATCTGATTCACTTTTAGTTCGATGTTCACTTCCGTATTACTAATTTAAGCACAGAATTGATTACAATCCTTAATGGCTAGTTAAGGTATGCACTGCATGTCTGTATGGCTGGATTCCTGGGATTTTTTCCACTGAAAGCACAAGGCCTAGGCGCGAGAGCTTGTATTGCGCAGATCTCTTCTGGTTAATAATTGAAAATAGCAAATTGCAAATTATAGTCTGCGGCTGGCAGTCGAATCGAGGCAAATTTTCGCTTTCAAATGGTTACAAATGCAAAATATTTACGCTATGCCGCGTGATTTTTTAGTCTTCTTCGAATGCCACGCACGTAGAACACATTTCATGCGAATTTACAGGCTTACCCTGTAGGCAACGCTGTCTGCTGACAACAGATCGTCACTGGAAGATCTAAAGCTTGCGCCACTGCCGATCGACAGAGTAACGAAAAAATAACAGATATGGCGATTCAAGGTGTCGAAAATATAATACTCTAAGAGTTAAGTGACACGCAAAGGTAGGTCGAAAAGGTGGTTGATCTTGGCTTTAATATTGAAATAGATAGAAAGTGGAAAATATAATACTGAATATTTGTTATACCAAAATTGATTTGATATTTTCTTTTGGAAGTATATGAAATACGATTCTTATTGGAATGAAAAGCTCAACATAATTAAAATTTTAAGATATTTTAAAGATAAAATTCTTATTGATATAACAAAAACCTGTATATAGTATTTCCCTCAATTTTTGATACATATGTTATCATCTATATATGATCCTGAAAAATCCATAACCATAGAGACAAACACATTTAAAGACTTGCAAGAAAATGGATGAGAATATATATGATCCTTTCCTTACCTGCTTTACATATATATTATTGAATTTCTTTACATTTAGCTTAGCTTGAAATAGATTAATGAATCTAATTTCAAGCTAAGAAACACAGATAGAAATGCTTAATATATAAAGGATTTATACATATATGTATATGAGCCTACTCTCTACCTGTTACAAATTGCATAACAAATCCAATGTATAATCCGTGCTAGTGTATTCAACGAACAATCAGCGGTCAATGTGCTGGAGGTTTGTTTAGCACACGGGAAAATTCCCCAAACATAAATATGTTTAGCACTCAGTCCATGGTCCGAGTGCCTCACTTGCACATGGCTTCGCTGCCTCGTACACTCACTCACTCGCTCAGTCACTCACTCTCTATAAATAATTCAAACGCACGTGTTGTCTAGAACAGGATCCGCACTTGCAGGGCGCGGGCGTTGCCGGGTGCCCTCTCGCCTGGCATGCTAATTTATAAACATAACAACGAACTGACATTGACAGCCAACTGTGATTTTGGGCATTCATAAGTGATCAAAAGATTGCTGCAGACACAGATCTGGCCAAAAGAGAATGTTTAAGCCAAACGTGCCAAATCGCATTATACCTATATGAGAAAACATATATCTAACAGAGATTGTCATCTGTAAAAAAGTGTAAAAATTTATATGAATTCCGCATTCAATCGTAACTGAAATCAAATCAAATCGCATGACTGTCAAACTGTAAAATGTGCGTAGTTAATAAATGAGTCATTAAACAATTCATTAGAATACAACAAATAAAATGTTGTTTAATGATCAACTCGACTGTGTCGTGTCTTGAACTGCGAAAGTACGTGAAGAACCTGGCTGTCATGCTGATATGGTAGTAAATCTTGCAATCGTTATAAGATTTGTAAATATGTGCAAATGTCATTTGCTGCTGCGTCTGTAACTGTGACAGTTCCTGCTTTTTTTCCCCTTTTCTGTTATGACTAATGAAAACAATTAACTGAGTTTTATCTGCCTCCGCCTACGTGTTACGCATATTCAAAGACCAAACAACATCGAGTCGTATCAGCTGACAGATATTACCAGAAGTTATAAAGTTAATGCAATGTTTTTAATACGTAGCAATCGACGAGCTGACTTTATATGCAGCCGTCGTGGGAGAGTTGTTTTAATAGATTAACTAGTTAGTTTTTATGCTCGCTCACGATGTGAAGAGAGTATATTGGCTTCTGTGCAATGTCGTAGCTATTTGATGCTATGTACTTGACATTTGGAACACAGACTCGTTAGGAGTCTCGTCTTATGTGGTGCTAAGACTCTACGTGTATGTTCACTAGGGGCGTGGCAAAATGGGAAATACTTTAACTGATATAAAGGAAGCTCCTATATAAGGAATTTTGAAATACATACTATTGTAGACTAAGGCCATAAATGCCTCGTATATATGTCTAAGCCTGCTTGGAGGCATGGCGAATCGGTTTAAGCACTTTCTTTCCAAGTTTTGGGACTAGAATCTAATAAGTTGAGCCATTAGTCTAAGATCCTTTATCATCGCTAAGATTCTCTATAGAACGATGAATTTGATGATCACGTCCTGTAGATGCGGTGCAAAAATATTCATGATTGATTTATTAGAAATAATATCTATATGACTCTAGGGGCGTAGCAAATTGGAAAAGCCTAAAGCTTCCAAAGTTTTGAGACTAGAGCTGCAAAATTAGGAAGCTAAGCTGATTCCTTCCTCAAATTTACTCAAGTAATTTTATTGCTTTGGATCCTTGAACAAGTATTATGCAGTCGATGCCGCCCGACAGCAAAATTCTTATTTGATTTTTAATTTTTCACTTCTTCCATTTACTAAATGAACTTTGGGAAAGTTTTGTTGGTTTAGTTTGGAGATTTGTGCATGGCTGAAAGATACAAATGGAGACATGCTCACTTATTAACTATTAATTGAGGTTATTAGCGCGCTAAATGCACATACAAACGTGCCACTCAATTACAGCAACAACAATTACAACAACAACAATTACAACAACATTGAACAATGCCAGCCACAGCCGCGCTAAAAAATGCAACAAATTGATTTCAAAATTGTTGCCATAAATTCAATATAAATTACAAATGTCTATATGTGCACCCATAAAGGTACAGTGAAAGCTCGCTTCACGAACAGGCGAAGTCTTGATGTCGCTTAAATGTTCTATACATAAATATCTTTATATATTCTATGCTCATATTATGTGCAAGGCAAACAGCGCGCTGTTGACTGTAGTTGCTGTTCACTATAGCGCTTGTGCACTGTACTTGCGCATGTTTGACTCTGCTTGACTTGCGGCAGTCGGGCGCGTTATTCATTTGGCTGTCGCTCTTGTTTTTGTTTTTTTTTTTTTGGGCCAACAAATGTTTGTTAACCTCTGACATGATTAGCGCGCTTTTTGTTGTTGTTGTTGTTTTTTTGCAACATTTTTAAATTGTAATTTCGCAGCTTAAGTTGAAATTCACAACTTAACAGTTGATTACGGCAGTGTTTAAGCATGTTTAAAGTTTTTAAAAGCTCGCAAATGACTTGCCAGTCTATATGATAATGCGTTTCAGGCTCAAACTGGTTTTTACTATTATTTCCTTTATTTAACCAAATGCATTTTCATTACACTTCCATGATTGGAATGCTTCAATGATCGTTAAAATTCTTTTGACAAGGAACTAAAGATTTATATAGTAATACAGTTTAGGATTAACTATACATATAGAGTAAGCCTATATAGTAAGGATATGCCTATATAGAGTAAGGTATATAATTATATGATATGAACTTGGACAACAATATATAAACATTTTTTATTTATTACAAATTTTTTTATTTCTAGAGACAGTTGAAATCTTTAAGCAGTTCACATTTATAACGACAATATTAAATATTTTATTTATAACAAATGAATAACAATAAAAAAT